TATAATCAAAATGACGACGACAAAGGAAAATGTGAATTCCGAGAAAACAAAAGCATTTATACCTATATACTTATTAAGAATTTCAATTGTTAGCATTTGTCTATTATAAATAATATCTTCCATACAACTATAACTAATTCATGCATTATCATACGTTTTAAATCTTAAAGTGTAAATCCTAAATCATGGACTTTTAACTCTAAACCCTAGTCATTAAAGTACACGTAAATTCTAAATTATTTTAGCACATGTCCATCCATTTTATTGTTCATTGTATTCATATTGAATACTGAAATCATTTTGTCATCAACCGCCTATTCAAAAGGATGATTATGAAGTGAATGTATAAATTTTACTTTACTTTTTTTTCGATGAATAAATTTTTACTTTACTTTAGGTTTTACTATAACAAATTTATTTTAGGTGGGTTATACCGTTCACTAAACAAATGTGTGGATATTGTGCATCATATCCTTAAAATTTAAAATGACTTTTAATCATTAACTTTCAAATTTTAATTGCTAACATTAGTCTAACATCAAATGATATAATGTAGAACTACAACTAATGTGTGCATCACGACAAGCTTTAAAATCCAAATAATCTATAGTTATAAATTCGAAACCATAAACTCGTGACCACTAGACCCATAAAACAAAACTAGCGTGGGCCCCGATCAGTTGGTCGAAGGAAGGTGAGGTATGAAATTTGATAATGTAATGGAGTGTATAGCTTATTGTTGTATAGTTTTTTTGGAAACACGTGATAAAAATAATGAATTTTAGCAGGAAAGAGACATGAATGATGCAACGAATCAAAAATCGGCCTTATGAACCAAAATCAAGTACCTGTTACCTTGTGAAACAATATTGTTTCTGGTAATATGATGAGGTGAAGTAAGTTTTATAGAATCCGAATTCCAGAAAATCGAATAAAAAATCGCCTATCTCGTCGGTTTTCGGGAAATGAGCATCTCACAACCGTTGCTTGCTTTTACTCGGCCCGTTGGCCGATTAATTTGCTTTATAAAACTTTCATCTTGTCATCATTGTGCTTTCTGGTTTTTGTCAGGCCATGATAAAATCTAAGAAAATCAAGAACGAACAACACGATTTGGGATAAGAACTGTCATTGTCGTATCCCTAGAAAATGGTGGTAAACACGGACTCACCTGCCAAACTGGTTTGGATTGAGATTTTTATCGAGTATCAGGGAACCATGTGATTATAAATTAGACTTGATCAAAACGGGGCAAAACTTGAAATTCAGCCTGTTTGACCGACTCATGCCAAATTCTAATTATTCTTTACTTTTAAACTTTCTATTTGAAAATAAAAAAAATATTGAAAGAAAAGAGATGAGTGCAATTCGCCATTTGCACATCACTTATTCGGGAATAAAACCATAGAAATTCAAAAGGAACTGAAAATGTTTAGGATCGTTTTAATGTTTAAAATAACCAAATAGATCTTTCTGTTTAATTTTTTACTAACAAATACCAAAATGATTCCTTGTAAAATACACTATAATTTGATCATTATGATATCAAATAATTATATAATATATATTTGAAATGATAAAAATTGGACTAATTAGGTTGGTCGAGGTTGAACCATTGAATAACTTTAAAATACATTATATTTTAGCCACTAAGATATAAATAATAGCATAATATATAGTATGCTAGAGAAAATAGCTTGTTTTAGAATGGCAAACCAATGATGTTCATTTGTTTTACTTGATGGCCAAATTCTGTGTAGGTCAGACCCATTCAACTCTTTTATTTTATGGTTAGCGGTTAGCCCATTAGATACCATGCATTAGTTTATTGTTAAATTTTTTATTTTTAGCAATAAAAAGGAGTATTGTTTTTAACTTTTCATATATATTTTATCACCACGAAGAAATAAAACAGTTTAAAGAAAAAAATTGACACTCCTGTACCCGTTTAAATCCGCATGTGTACGGTAAGTTGGCCCGTTCCACAGAGGAAAGAGAAAAAGATTGACACTCCCTATTCTACTCTTCCTACAAACTCTTTTAGAATGACAAACCAATAATGTCCATTTGTTTTACTTGATGGCCAAATCTCGTGTAGGTCAGGCCCATTCAACTCTTTTATTTTATGGTTAGCGGTTAGCCCATTAGATACCATGCATTAGTTTATTGTTAAATTTTTTATTTTTAACAATAAAAAGGAGTATTGTTTTTGCTTTTTCATATATATTTTATCACCATGGAGAAATAAAAGAGCTTAAAGAAAAAAATGACACTCCTGAACCCGTTTAAATCCACATGTGTACGGTAAGTTGGCCCGTTCCACAGAGAAAAGAGTAAAAAATTGACACTCCCTATTCTACCCTTCCTACAAACGCTCATGAGCAGAGAATTTGAAATGGGGGAAGAGTTTTTGCCTCCTTGCTATTATATGTTTTTAATTTAAAAATATACATCAAATGTACTTAGTGTGATTGGTTATGATCCTTGTTTTTCGTTAAAATGGTCATGGTTCGAATCCCAATACGTGTATTTTTAATGAATTAAAAAAAGTAATTGTAAAGACCAAAATGTCCTTCCTACTTTCACTCTCGTTGTAGGAAATTTGAAATGGGGCTCCCGTTTTTCCCTTCGATATATTATAATATGCGTAGAAGATGTAGACTAAATCATTTGTGTTTTTTTTAATTTATTTATTTTCTCGTTCGTCGTATTATATTAGTAATCGAGATTCATTGTCATAAATTGTATAATAAAAATGATGACAACGAACTCTTGAAGAAAAAAAAAATGATGACAACGAGGGAAAATGTGGGTGCAGAAATAACAAAAGCATATATAACCTATATGCTTATTATTATCATTATCATTTATACTTGACTTGTATGAGAGAAAGATCCATTCCTTTGAGTGCTGCGCACTTATTCCTACATCATCAAAGGTTTGTTTGGACTTACCTTCACAACGATAGCTACATTCCCCAACTTTGCATCATCAAAAAAAATATACAAGGATAATGAAAAATAACAAATCAAAAGAAAAATGCTTTAAGGAGTGTATGGATGCCACGTCTATATTCGTTCATAATCAATTCGATCCACACCACAGCTGCAGAAGCTGAACGGAATAGAAGGCCTCAGCAGAAGCAACACAACGGAACACGACGAAACCAAATCAATGGCATTATGGCAACGGCAATGGCAACGGCAAAGGCAAAATGAAAGCATCCCTCTTTCCCTTTTTTTTTTGTTACACAATGAATTGAAAAACATATTTATCATCTTTGCCTTTCTTTCTTTTTTTATTTATTTATAATTATTTAGTCTCACTCTGCCTCTGTAGTCTATATATTCCTCATCCTTTGCTCCTTTTCCAAACCTCCCCATCCCTTCTCTGTCACGGCACACTCTCCCCCCTCACCCTTTTTCTTTTCTGGAGCGATAAATCTGTAACAGAAACACGAAGAAAAACGAAAAATTTAAGTGGACGGAATCAAATATCCCAATTACCCTTCCATATCGGAGACTCTGTTTCAGCTCTAATCCATAACCTAGCTGCTCTCAGCCTTTTCTCTCGGCTCTCTTTCTCTTCCTGGTACGTGCCTTCTTCTTTCAAGTCTATAACGTGTTTCTCTTATTGACTGTGCTCGCTCTTTTTTCGTTTATAGATTCCAAGTTTGTTTCTTTACTGTTCTGTTTAGTTTGGTTGGTTGCCCAGAAAGTTGAGAGATTCCAACCAGTCTCCCCTGCTCGCGACCTACTCGAATACAACACTTTAGGTATTAGAAACCATGGCAGAGGGGAAGAAAGAAGTGGGACAGAAATGGGGAAATCAATCTCTTGAGCTCGGACTTATTATAGGGCAAGAACAGTAGACGATGAAATAAACAGAGGACATCCAAAGATTTTAATAAAGAAGAACACTTGGGCTTCCTCTTTCTCCATATTTTCTTCCCACCCTACAGAAAATGTTTTGCTGGGTGTTTCTAGATTTCTGATCTTGCCAAGGGAAAAAGCGGCAGAGAAGAGAAAAGAACAAATTGCTCTGCCCTGCTCTACCCTACCCTGCTGCCCTTTGCTCAGCAGATGACGGGGAAAAAGCTTCAGAATCGTTGTCCGCTTCCCCTTTCTGTTTCTCATCTTATGAAACGGACACAGAGGGGAGAGAGAAGAGAAGCTCCACATCCACCTGTCCCGCCATCTCCATATCTCATCAACATCATCATCTCTTTTGTTCGTTTCCTATGTTTCGGTGGTTCCCAATGTAAATCCCCTTTTCCTTTGATTTCTGAAACCCACCCTCACCTTTCCCTTCCCAATGTTGCCCATAACCCTCCTCCCGCATCAGATCTAACAGAAACAATCCTTTGGGTTTCTGGGTTTTGGGGTTTCACTCAATAAGATAGAAGTTAAATTAGTGGAAAAAGAAGAATACGGAAACGTTTCTGATATGCTCTGTTTTGGGCGCGGACAAAGGGAGACATGAAAACATGGCCCGAGCACTCCAAATCTTGCTTCTGCTTCCATGTCTTCCTCCTTCTCCTTCTTCCACTCCAATTTTTAATTGTTTCATTCCCTTCGGATTAGACAACAAACACTCTGTCGACATTTCTCCAAGCTGCCTCTGCGTGCATTAAATTCCCTGTAATATTTCATTGAATATAGATATAATAACAACAACAGCTTCACATGACCAAACCAACCAATCTGTGGGTGTAATTAGATAGGGTCATCCCCTCTATTTTTCTGTTGTTGGCCCGATTTCTTACCAACCCAAAATTAAATGATGTTTGATCTCAGCGCCACTAATCGGATTCTTGTGTTTCAGATTATGCAGTGGCGATGGACCGGTTATTAATGGAGGAGTTCGTGGCTGGAAACCAGTTTCCTCACCAACATAGCAGCAATGATGCTCATGACAATGATGACAACAGTAGTAGGAACAACGGTATTTATAACAAAGGTCGGAGAAGGAAACAATGGAGATCAATTTCTGGGGAAGTGATGGATTCCGAAGAAGAAGAAGAAGAAGAAGAGGGCAGCAATTCCAACAGTGGGTTCGACTGCAACATCTGTCTCGATTCCGTACAAGATCCCGTCGTCACGCTCTGCGGTCACCTCTACTGCTGGCCCTGCATTTACCGATGGCTTAACTGCCGTGGCGGCGGCGGCGACATCGACGGCGACGACGTTGACGAGGAAGAGTATGACAAGCCGTCGCATCGGCAGTGCCCCGTTTGCAAGTTCGAAATTACCGAATCCGCCCTCGTCCCTCTCTTCGGCCGCGGCCAGGCCGGCGATGACGTGTCCTCCGGGCGCACTAGTTCCCCCGCCGGTGGATCGAAATCGGCGGTTGGGGTCGTAATTCCCAGGCGGCCGCTGCCGCAACGGGTCCGCAGCCCTCGCGATCCTTCTCCTCATCGGCCGCCCCCGCGGCTGCGTCGGGGATACTACGAGCAGCGGCCGCCGCCGATGATGGGAGGTGGGGCGGCGGGTCTGAATTTGGATTTATCGGGTCGGGTGCCGATCCCGGTGGTGGGGATGCTGGGGGAGATCGTTTTCTCCGGCGGGTTCGGGAACGGGATCTACGGATACCAGAACACGGCGGCGCCGGTGGCCGGCGGCGGCAGCCCTCGGGTCCGGAGGCAATTGATGGAAGCGGACAGGTCACTGAGCAGAGTGTGTTTCTTCCTCTTCTGTTGCCTTTTCATGTGTATCCTTCTGTTCTAAGTCCAAAAACAAAGTGGCTTTGCGGAAGGGATAATGAAGTAAAGTCGAAATATAGTCACCGCCGACCTTGTTTGACCCGACCCGCTTTCAATAAAGTCTAGCCGGCGGCTGTTTTAACGGTGACTCGTGGGTGCGACTATGCTATTGATTGTTGTATTGTATGTGTAGACGTTTGTTCGTGGCTGTAATTAATGTATGCTTAGGGAGGTATTGGTCAACGTATGCTTTGTCTTCGCTTCTCTCATCCAACGTCACAATCTGGTTTTAACTTTTAACCTATGTATATTTCAATCAATATCTATTCCAAAAAATTAAGGCAAAATAAACTAGTGTAGCCAAAGTTTTGACGGTTTGGTAAATAATCACTTCCGTCCAATTTCTTGATGGTGTGAGTTAACGTGTTGATTGGACTAACGAATCATCCGAACTGACAATTTTTGTCCCGTACGTATTTCTCACGTGGATTTAATTAAAAAAAATAAAATAACAATAATTAAAATTTAAAATTTTCAAATGGCTTGGTCTTTTGATTTATGAAAAATAAAAACAAATAAATAAAAACTTCTCCTAGTCGACAGCTCCAACACCACTAGAGCTGACATGACACATATAATACCTTCTTCATTCTCTCATTACTCCGCTCCCTACAGAACTCCAAATAACGAATCTAGAGGTCGATGTCCCCATTGTATCTTTGCATGACGAGCCAGTAAATCTCAACAATCCTCGACACTCCGGCGAAGTCAAAGATCGAGAGCTTTTTGTCCTCTTGTTATTCTTCTTCTTATCCAGGTCCCGGGCCACAGATTTCTTGCGAAGGTGGCGAAGCGTGTTGATCTGGGTCTCGTACTCTATGCAGGTCAAATAGTCCTACTTTAGAGGACTAGGGCGCTTCAATCTGTACTCGAATTTCCGCCTCTGCTTGACAATCTCATCTATCTCCCGGGGGGTGAATAGTCCTCAATGGTCTAGGCCATCGAGCTCCTCGATCGGAGCTAAGAGGAAGAAATGGAGAGAGGTGGGAAAAAAAGCAGATGGGATTGGTAAGACGAGGAGATGAGTTTCTTTTTTTTTGTGTGTGAAGATTTAGGTAGAATTAAAAAAATACTTTTGTTAATGACGTGTCATCCAGCTGTCACTGAATGCTGAGGTGGAAATGAAAGAGATGGTGTGTTGGCAGCCAGGTAAGCTTTCCGTTAATTTGACTAACGGTGTCACTGACGCCATTAAATTATGTAACGAAAATGGCTATATTTGTCATCAAACTTTCAAAATTCTGGCTATTATTGGTATTTCCCCGAAAGTGGTTATTATTCTTACGAACGTCAAACTTTTGGCTACACAGATGAATTTTGCCAAAAATTATTAATGAAAATTGTTCCAATTTCTTTTTCCATTTGATGAGTTGTGGAACTGCTGACCAAGTAAACATTTTTTTGTCTAACAAAATTAAAATGAGGATTGTGTAGTTCAAAATTCGACATTGTAACTACTGGATTAAATGTGTTTGACATAACAAAATCTTATTTTAGTTTTCCTGGTTCACCATATTTCTTTTGTATAAAAATGTATTTCTGGTAGAAAATGAAATCTTTAAAAGGCATCCCAACCTTTATGCATTAATGAAATGGAATGACTAAACCCCATTTTGGTAAAAAAATAACCAATAACCAAGAGAATTACAGGGTGTAGATAAAATATGTTCTCCAGAAGATAGAGAATGGCCTAATGCAGTCTAACCTGCCAGGGTTGCCCCATAAGTCACCTAATTCTGACAATCGTCGAATAGTAGGGCTGGCTATTTGGACCGGGACCGGATGAAAAACCGGAAACCGGACTGTATAACCCGGACCGAGACTGGACCGGGACCGGATAGTAAACAATCCAATCCAATCTTTGGGCTTAGATTTGAGGTAAAAAACCGGATAAAGACCGGATAAAAGAGCTCAACACCCAAAACTTAAGGGTAATTTGCATAAACGGTCACAAACCTTTTCACTTAGTGCAAAACTTAACCAACTCCTCACCCTTTTAGGCCTTAGGCCACTCAAATTCCCACAATCTCAATATAAAATCAAGACCGAATTGGGACCAGACCGGGTCAAGACCGGACTGGATCAAGACCGGACTGTATCCAATCCAATCTTCGGTCCTTATATTTTCAAAAAAACCGGACTGGACCGGATCAATTTGGGCCAATTTAACCGGACCGGACCGTATAGCCACCCCTATCGAATAGTGTGGATGACTAAGTTTCGAAGTCTTAATAAGATGTTTGGTTGTAAGTGAGTCAGCTTGTAAAAGAGCTTTACTAACCGCAATTTCCAAAAAATATTGAGACCATGTATAATACCAGCCAACTCTTCACCGGAAATGGAACCCTCCAAGGTTCACAAAATTGTAAATTTTTTTTATCTTCAACAAAATTGTAATTTGATCACCTTCCTCCTGAATCCCAATTTGTAAATGGATATCAATATAGTACAATACACTATATTTTAAGATTTTTTGGGTTTTATACACCTAGTTTAATTAGCTAAAGGCTTCTATAATACATTTTTATGTCTTTTTTTTTTCTCGTTAAGAGATCTTACAACACTAACAAAAACAATCATTGTTTGCAGTCATGCGCTCAAGAGTAGAAGCTGATATTTATATTTCAATATGTAGAATCTTTATATGAAATAAAAATACGATATCCATAAGAGATACTTATACACTCCCAAATTTTAGATTGTTCGTCGTTCGATGGGTAATAAGTACAAAGATCTTAATCGATACCAAGAGCCTCAATCAAGTATCAAATTTTCAATGGATAGTTTATCATTAATGACAACTGAAAAAAATACTCATCAATTAGGATTAAGTAATACAAATCTTCAGTATATTAATACATGTGATGCATGAATAATCTCGATCGAGTATTCGTTCTTTATGTTCTAATAAGATCATTTGTCATTATAAACTAAATTTAATTGAAAAAAATCAAAGCCAAAATAAGTACTCAAAATATAAGTTGTCATAACGAAAAGAATCCGAAATACAAACCTAAATATCACAGTCAACATAATTGATAGGTCCCAGTACAAAACGTTTAACACAAGCTAAACCATTAAAAAAATTCAGACTTGTTAAGGAAGAGTAGGATTGAGAAATGTTTGGCGTTATATGTTTTGTAAGTTTATGAAGTGATAATGAGAAGAAACAAGCATGAGCCTATTCTGTTTAATTAAATTCTTCCCGTCACTTTTCACCTTGTAAAAAATGCATCTAAATAATGGAATGTCCATCTCTATCACATTTCATGCATTTTACTGGGTAGTCAATTGCAATTCTCCACTATTTCTGGTGTTAGTTGATTGGTTAATTACACATTATATAGTTGTTGATTAGTCGCATTGTAACCCAAGAATTTCCGGTGAATGCAATTGCCTCTGAGAGGTTGCTCCCTTGTGATTATCCTTCTTTCGTTCTTGTGTTTTAACATTTATAATAAAAAATGTAATTGAAACGTTCATTTTCCCGTACCAAATATGTTATGATTTCACTATCTCCAATCCAACACAAAAGAGACATATAATAATAAATGAATGGGAAGGGAATGGAGACATATAGTAATTAGTACAGTGGTGTAAAATAGGGTTGGAGGGAAGAGCTGGAAAGGGAAAGTGAAGTGGATAGGATGCCGAAATTGACTGGGCGGGCGGGGTTGTGGCCTTGTGGGTCAGCATTGTGAAGAGTTTTGGATAAGAAGCCATTCCCTTTCAGTACGGCTGGGCATGCGGGCAGATCATCTGCGGGTTTGGGCCGACCCATCCGCATTTGACCCGAATTTCGTTAAGTGGGTGGGTCTATGGGTGGGTGACGGGTTGCACTGGGAGCCATCCGCCGGGTGGTGGGTGGGTTGTGGGTGGGTGCGCGAGTGACCCGCTCAACCCAACAGCAAAAAGATCAAAGTCGTCGGCGCTAGAGAGGGGAGAGTGGAGACGTTAGACATAAACTAGGACTGCTCCTGGAGTTTGAACCTCAAAGCCAACCTTCCAAATAGCGATCCCCTCTTCTTCCCTTTATTTTTTCCTCTAATTCTTGTGCCTAGATCACTCCTCTTTCCTTTGTGAAATTATTTTTCTTAGTTCCTTGCACCTGATAATCATCTCAATTTGTAGAAAACTCTTTCATAATAGAATTTCTATCCATTTTAAGAACTAATTCGACATTTTTCGCCCTATTTCATCTTCTTGTTTCCCCAAATAACTCTCTTCGCCTATTATCATGTCAAGTTGACTCCTTTATATTATATACATTGTGATGTGGGTGAACCCACAAACCCACCCAAATCATCCACCATCCGCCCGACCCAACCCGAGACTAAATGTGGGTGGGTGGTGGGTTAAAAATTATCAATCCGTTTAAGCGCGGGTGGATACATTTTATGGTCAAAAACCACCCGACCCACCCAATGCCCACCCCTACCTTCCAGCTAGCTGTATGCCTGAGAAGAAGAAAAGGTAGAAGGAAGGTCATTTCCAGATTTGGGGAAAACGCAGTTATGGCCGTGTTTGCCGAGTAGTCCCCATCGCCGTTAAGGTAGAGAGAGAGGAGAGTATGTTGGTCCATTGAAAGCTATGGATTTCTTACACTCACTTGAGCTTTGGGAAAACATTTCTACCAATTCGGCTAGGGTTCCAACTTCTAACACACCAATTTCACAGAACGTCCATCCAACGGTCCAAAATGCAGCTGAGTGAGAGGTTGAATCCGAACGGCCCAGGACGACACGCAGGGAAGTTTTTATTTTATTTTTATATAAAGGTGATATATGTCTATTTTCATTATAAGGTGCTACTTGAGATATTCGAGTATGAGATCTTTAGATTCAAGACTAGTGATAGTACCATTAAACCAAGTTCTTGTTAACGATTCAGAAGAGCACTTTGCCTACGTGGATGTTGCTTATTTAAGAAGAAACACTATTCTCTCATTCTAAAAGAATACTCAAC